GAGGTTACTGATTCCAAGGATATTGGTAACATCCTTGGGAGCACATTTCTTCTTGGTCATCGAGACATGTGGAGAAAGAATGCTACCTTCGTTTTTTAGCTGATAGTTCCTATGACCATAATCTACCATTTACTCTGATGGAACCTCTTGCATACATTGGCGTGGTAATACATCATTTGAGCTAGATGATATTCATTACGAGTGGTTGGTGTGCCATCTCTCTTTTGCCTCTCTCTATTTTCTGATTGTTTATAAGGAGGAGGATTTTCCAACTGCTTTTCATTAGGCTATTATCATTCATTTTTCTAAGCCTGGGAAGGATCCCAAGATTCCTTCTAATTAATTATCAACCTATTTCTCTGATTAGCCGTATTTTTAAAGTTTTGGAAAGGATGTTTGATGCTCGTCTTGTTTGGTTCTTAATCAAACAGCATCATCTCACCCATTCAGTGTGGTTTATTCAGACAGGATCCACCATGGACCATCTTATTCAACTTAAAACTTCAAACAGGGAAACCTGTCTCAAGAGGTAGCTGTTTCGATTACTTTTGATTTGAGAAGGTTTGTGACACCACTTGGAGGTTTGAAATCTCATAGAACCTCCATTCATATAGACAGCGTGCCCATTTGCCCATTTTTATTCGTGATTTTTAGCTGAAAGATCATTTAAAGTCCTGATCCTTCACACAGGAACTTGATGTCCCTCAGGGCTGTATCTTCAGTGTTATGCTTTCCAATATTAAAATAAGTGTCATTACCAAACAACATCCTTCTATAGCTCAAACAGCTTCCATGACAATGACTTTCAGATTTCTTGTCAGTTATCAAATATGAGGTATATTGAGTGGATATTTCAGACTGTCTCCGCTCACCTGCCAGTGTGAAACACAGCACAAGGTTTCACATTATCATAATATAAAACCTTATGTTTTCCTTTCAGCAGAGACTGCACCCTGATCTTGAGCTCCACTTGAGAGGGGTTATAATTTACGTTGTGACAAAGTTTTTGGGACGCCTCTTTGACCATAAGCTGAGATTTATTCCACACACTAAGCAGCTTAGTGACAAGTGCACAAGGGTACTGAACACCTTCCATGTCCTTTATTCCACTTCTTGAGGAGTGGACAAGTGTTCTATGCCGAAGATATACTGTACCCTCATTCAATCTAAGCTGAATTATGGATCTCTGGTCTGTGTTTCAACCAGGGAGCCTATCTTGACGATGTTGGACCCTGTTAACCAATAAGGACTTTAGCTCTGTACAGGGGATTTATGCACTTTTTTCATCCAAAGGTTGTACACTGAGTCATAGGACAGCCTTCTATTTATCTTCATCATTCGCAGTTTTCTGTGAAGCTCCAATCCTTATCCCAGCATTCCACTTGGCATTGTAACTTCATGCCTTGGCGGGCTATCTTTTGTGTAAATAGATAGTCTGTTATTCTTACCTTTGGCCTTTGAATCCAGACATAGTTGACTGACACGGGTCTGAAATTAGACTTTATTGCAGAATCTGATTAACAGCTCATTACTCAATGGATTATTACCAGTCCCACTTGTGACATTTCTTTAAGTCACTTGAGAAGTCACAGATATTTCCGATTGGAAATGCCGTCTTCACTTTAAGGAACACCTTTCAAATCATTCTTCTACTCCCATTTTTACATATGGTTCTATGTGTGATGGTTCTGTGGTCTCTGTCATGATTCACTGTGACTATGTAGCTGCTCACAGGATCCTCTCTAGAGATTCTGTGTTCACTACTGAGTAAAATACGCCATTTAACTTGCTCTGGATCATGTTGAACCTAAGAAGTACGTTTATTTTACAATCTCTACTGATTTTCTTAGCTCATTGAAGGCCATGGATTCACTACAGCTAGTTTTCACCCAGTACTTTTGGACATTCAGCAACAAAATCAATTATTCTGGTGATGTAACAGTTCTGCTTATCGTTTATGTGGATATCACACCTGTAATCAAGTCAATTTACACTCGATTTGAGATGAGCAACATCACAAGTTTTTCCAGTCCAAGTCTTCTCTTATCGCCTGGCTAATTAGTTCCATAAGAACTGATGGAAGTTGTCCTGACAAAGTCTTCGCATTGGCCGCGTTTTCCTTACTCATAGATTTTTTTAATAAGGAGATTTATTCACCAGTGTGCTGCTTTTATAACACTCAAGTCACAATTGCCTATTTGTACTTTCATGACGTGGCTACGATTACCAGCGGAGACATCACTTTCGACATATTTTTCCCGAGGTCTGGGTTTAACGTTAGACAATGTCATTAGTGATCATGACATTGTCTTGATTGATCATGTTTTTAGTTTATTGTAGGCTAGAGGACTTTTTTATTTTCTTTGATTATTTTAAACCTTGTTTGCAAGCAAAGGATTTGTTTGTTTATTTTAGGCTATCTGCTGTATCCAATCGCCGGGAATAGAACTCCAGATTTTAGCACTGTAATTCCTTAAATTTGCAACTGTTTCACTGGGATACGCAAACAAAAGGTCCTTGGCGCCGAGTTTTTAATTTGCACCTTTTAAGATATTTTGCATGACCTTCTTTAATTGTCTTTGAAACAAATTAGCACAAAATGTTTGGCGGAAATAGTCCTATTGTTTTGTACCAAAAAGCCCCAGTCCAATCCAGAGTTAGGCATTCCATAATTACTAGGCGAATTATGACGAAATATTTGGCCTGATAGTTAAGGAATTTAATAAATCGTCTCTAACTATTTCATGATTCCTGATGAAATCACTAAGTGGAAAATTTCGCAGTGTTCAACAAATTTTCTATTGTTATTCTGAAGTTTTGTGTAAATTGTCTAGTTATTACATTAAAAAATATTGATAATATGTCAAAGACACTCGTTTTGGTTCATTCATTAAAGAGTCTGCTTTTTTCCTTTTCGATTTCAACAAGACTACGAGCTAGCTATGGAAACATATCAGTTGGAATCACGAAGTAAAGACTGACACAAAACACCTAACTTAGCAATTCTAGAATTCTTTCAGAATAATATATAATCAAACTGTTTGAACTTTTAATCGTAGAATTTTTGACACATCTATAAGAATTTCTAGCAAAAACAGCGTGAAGCAACGTTTCACTCAACGTAGTACTTATTTACACCCCTGCATATGAAGTCTTTCGTTGAATGTAATTTGTTTACATTAATCATTAACTCGCAATGAAATGATTTAGACTGTAGTATTAGGTTCTATATTGTGTTTTTCTTGTTTTTCAGAACAAAGTTTGTGTCATATAAGTGATTGAAATGAAACTTAACGTTTGAGAAACAGGCACAGCTTTATCTGGAAGTAACCAACGAAACATATATGCCAACACTAACTGCAATGTGCATCATGTTACTGTATATGTGTGAATATATTATAGCAGTCGTGTGTATCATGTTTCTGTGTATCATGTTACTCTGTGTGTTGTAGCAGTCGTGTGTATTGTGTTACTGTGTGTGTATTGTTGCAGTCGAGTGTATTATGTTACTCTGTGTGTTGTAGCAGTCGAGTGTATTATGTTACTCTGTGTATTGTAGCAGTCGAGTGCATCATGTTACTGTGTGTATTGTAGCAGTCGAGTGTATCATGTTACTGTGTCTATTGTAGCAATCGAGTGTATCATGTTACTGTGTCTATTGTAGCAATCGAGTGTATCATATTCCTGTGTGTATTGTAGCAATCGAGTGTATCATGTTACTATGTATATTGTAACAGTCGAGTGTATCATGTTACTTTGTATATTGTAGCAGTCGTTTATATCATGTTATTGCGTATGTATTCTTTAGATGAAACAAATGCGTGTTTTGTAAAAAAAAACAGAAGATTTTATAGCTAGAACGGACCTGTGCATCGAGAAACTTTGTGTTTTTGCTTAGTGAAGCAGAACGTGCGTATTATTTTATCTTTTCTTCTTCTACCTGAAATATACAGTGTATGTTTTGTAACTGGTACAATCATGTATCACGTTATTGTGTATGTTTTGTAGCTGGTACAATCATGTACCACGTTATTGTGGTTGTTTTGTAGCTGGTACAATCATGTATCACGTTATCGTGTATGTTTTGTAGCTGGTAAAATCATGTATCACGTTATTCTGTATGTTTTGTAGCTGGTACAATCATGTATCACGTTATCGTGTATGTTTTGTAGCTGGTACAATCATGTATCACGTTATTGTGTATGTTTTGTAGCTGGTACAATCATGTATCACGTTATTGTGTATGTTTTGTAGCTGGTAAAATCATGTATCACGTTATTGTGTATGTTTTGTAGCTGGTACAATCATGTATCACGTTATTGTGTATGTTTTGTAGCTGGTAAAATCATGTATCACGTTATTGTGTATGTTTTGTAGCTGGTATAATCATGTATCACGTTATTGTGTATGTTTTGTAGCTGGTACAATCATGTATCACGTTATTGTGTATGTTTTGTAGCTGGTATAATCATGTATCATGTTATTGTGTATGTTTTGTAGCTGGTACAATCATGTATCACGTTACTGTGTATGTCTTATAGCTGGTACAGTCATGTTTCACGTTATTGCGTATGTTTTTACACAAAATAGAATGTTTGTATTTGTGTAGTATTTCATTTTACTGCGTATATGCAACGTTTTAGAAAATTAAGCATACTAATAAACCAATTGATACAATTATTTCAATATATAAGTGTTGTTATAGAAATTAAGACTGAAGAATAGGATTAGCTTTCTGATTCAGCGTTACTTCGTCTTGTTTTCTTGTATTAAAATTGCTTTGTACGCTTGTCCGTGATATCAGTCGAGAGGATGACTCGATCAGATCAGTTTTAAGTTCATCATTTAGATGTGGCAACAAGAAAGCTTTAAGACAACGTAAATTTTTGAAACATTATTAAAAAGCGATGACAAGCTGTAAGACACGATAGGTGGCGCGAGAGGGCCCACATGACATGTGGAAAGTACAGCCGTGAAGCCTACATTCGCTCGGCTGGACCTGCTGCGGCCTCGACGCCTCAGGAGACTGGAGCTTGCATAATCGAAGTTTTCATGCTGTTTTCTTGGTTGACACGAAGAGCAAACTGAGAGTGGCTTGTGGAATCAAAGTGATTGAACCGGTAGACTGAGAAGTAAATCAAAGGGCTTCACCACGACGAGGAAGGTTGAATATCAACGGCGGAGGAATCGTTATATTTCCGACCTAAGAAATTCCTTAACGTTGAGATGAGACGAAGATTCTCCTTTTTGAACCTTCTTGCGTGTTATATACTTTCAATATTCGGAATAACACTTCAGAAACACGTTCAAGGTACGAAATTTACCTTATAGTTGAAAAATATTTAATAAATTGATTTAGAAACGTTTTTACTTTGAATCAAAGAGAAGGAAAGTTTTAACTTTTGTCAAGATAACATATAATATTTAAAGTTGGAGTTTTCAAACAAGGAGAAAAATAAAGCCTTTTCAACTTTAGATCACAAACAATTGTAAAAATCAATATTTAAGTCTCATCTTTCCTTAGATCAAGATCACCTGTTTTAATTCATTATCGAACATTTAATGGAATCAGATTTAAGGAGTGAACGAGTATGTAGTTTTTAATCCTATAAATTATTTTTAAAGCCAATATAGAGAAATTGGTTTTGAATCTTAGTTTGGACACATTTTCTTAGCTGATAAATTACAATTCTTTCAACTAAAACTAGAAGGCTAATTTCATACTTTCTGTTTATGTAACCAAAGAGATGAAGACTTTCAGTTACTCGTGTTAAGACAAAAATTAAACAAATCAATGTTAAGATCTGGTTTACCGAAAGCGATGAACTATGTTTTAGAGAAGCAGTAAGACTATTTACTTTGTGCAATTTATCGTGGCTGATATAATTTAAGAGAAAATTAGTATAAAGTTATTTATCCTGTGTTATCAAGTATGAACTGTCTTCTACTGTGTTATAGAAGGTAATGCACAATTCCATAATTACGGTATATAGTTACCAGCTTGATCTGATTTTCGCAAGACTTAATAATATTTAAACATTTAACAGAATAATACAATACGTAATCCAATTTTTACTTTAGATATTACTTATTACCTCCGCCACCGAGGGTGATAGAGGTTATGTTTCCACCCCTGTGTGTGTTTGTCAACAGGATTTCTCAAAAGTGGCTGAATGGATTTGGACGAAAGTTGGTATACATTTGAATGATAATCCAACTTAGAAATGATTAGGTTTTTGAGGGTCACGGTCACAACAAAATCACGAAAATCTAAAAGAATCCCTATCTATTAAAATGGGGCCCAATTTTTGTACACTATTTTTGCTCTATAGCTCAGTAAGAAATTATCGGATTTTGATGAAACTTTGTGGACATATGTAGAATATGATTCCTCATTGTTCTGCCAAAAATGATCCACATCCATTGATAATGACGGACATACAAACACATTTACATATTTTACTGAAACATTGAAACTCTTGTGGTTAAAAGGGAGTCGAGACCATTTTTAATTACATGTTTGAAAACAAAAAACACTTGTATACAAAGTAGTTTTATATATCTACTTCCGAGCTAACTTGTTTCCGAGAATTTCGGGCATTAGATGTTTAACATCATTGCTTTCACATTTACATCAACGACAACAGCATCATGAAAAATAAGATGTCACTAAAGACTATATTATTGTGTTTTCATTCATAATTTCAGTACAAAGCAGAATAGCTGTTCTTTGCTTTCCTAGTGCAGCAATGATTGCATCATTCGAAGATTGTTCCACAAGATGTGAACATTTCTAGTATATCAGCTAGTAACAAAAGCTGAAACACATATGATGTATGTCCATAATAGAAAATATGTGATCCTGGGTAATCTGCTTCTGTAATTTCTTTTTACTTTTAACACACACAAAACATGTGATTATTAATCTTGCTTTGTTGCCAAATTCCATTCAGACAGTTAGGGTGTGAAGAAGAAAAATAAAATGTCAACTAATATTTCTGCGTTTCTGAAGATCTGTGTGTCTAGATATCATAGATATGTTTAGAGCATTTTTGAGGATAAATTCGATAAGATAGTTGAAATTAAGCTGCATTCTCTGTGAACGAGCAGATATTTATTCGACAAGATATCAAGCATTTGGGTTACATTTCATTAAACGTTTTCTGTTTTGTTTGTCTGAATAGAGGAATTTGACCGTTAATGGTATAGCGCATCCAATGATCCAAAGTGTGGAGCGTGTGTTTTCTGTTTTGCGACAAAGGGATTTAATGTAAGATCCACAGTTCAGTCACGCTAACTTGTGGGCCACGATCGGCTCTAGATTGAAAGAAAAACAAGCTATTAAAATTCATCGTTTGAATGAAATAAAAACAACTTAGAACATACAGAAATTACTTTAGGCATTCTGTCTTATTTCTGTATATAAGTTGTGAAATAAAAAAACGTAAGTCATTTTCTTTATGCGATAGCCATAGGGCCAGTCATACCTATTATCATATTTTCAGTTTCAATTTCGTTATCACATACCTTTGAATCCTCAATAGGCTTAAAAAATTGGTATAAATTTACCTTTGCAAACATAACTTTTGTTTTGTTTAAAAAAAAAAGAACATAAAAAAATACGTTATTTTCTTACGGAAAACTAAATAAATAGATTTGTTTTCCTGGCAGATAACAGGTGATTTGATGCTGTTATGCTATCAAATGTTTTTGTTTGGTTTTGTTTTTCCAATTAAAACGTAAGTTGAATAAAAAGTCAAAATATTGTGCACATGGTAATTCGCAAGTGAAAAACAACAGCTAAGGTTTAATTAAAGTGAACAATAGCTTTCAAATGGATACATTTAAGTTGTTATCTGAAAATGAATAGATTTAGATACACTAAACTACATGTTGGTTATAATTAAAATGTTAAAGAAAAGAAAAAGCATATCATTGGTATGTACTACTACTACCATTGAACACTGAACACAAGCGTAGGAACATCACATATAAACATACATAAATACATATATAATTAGATAACTGATGTTTCTTTTTTTTCACGTAAATGATATTTTCATACATATATTATTTGGTTATTATTCTGTAAATCATCGAAGGAGAACCATAAAAAATGTTTGAGTCAATAGCTGAAATCGAAAGAAATTGGAAAATGAGATGTCATGCTCGTCTGTGTCGTTGTAAGCAGGCGTTGAATGTTTAGAATTTATTTAAAACTCTCGTGATCTGAAGGAGATTTTTACATTTTCTAAATATAATTAAGTAATTCACATACATACTGTTACGTATTAGAATCTCAAATAGCCTGAAATTGAGTTAACTGATAAATTTAAATTTAGTAGATAAATTGTACTTTGGATTCGGCAGTTAAGTAAAAG